TCACAAAATGCATGCACATTGCACATTTATCATGAGAAATTCTTGCATATAAAATACACACACACACACACACAAACATATATATATATATATATATATATATATATATATATATGTGTGTGTGTGTGTGTGTGTGTGTGTGTGTGTGTGTAAAGTTAGCTCCTCTCATTCCCTATAGAAAATTGGGCTCCTTTTAAAACTGCATCCGAGTACATGCTAGATTCAGTGTGGATATGTATTCACAAATGGTCCCAAGCCACATGTATACACACTTTTATGATAGTTTGAATTCAGAGTTTCTTTCTCATAGATGGGTTGCCTCCAAAGGCTATAGGATCGAGTCTATCCTGCTGTTTTACTCATAGCTGGCTGGGTAGGGGAGAAGAGATGGATTACTTCTTTTCCCAAAGATATTAACACATAAGTGGATGCAATGAACTTGACTGGAATTTGAACTTGGCTTTACAATTCATCAATCCGAGCTGCTAAACATTACAACACCACACCAACACACACATTTATATATATATATATATATATATATATATATATATATATATATATATATACAAGTGACAGTTCAAAAGTTTGAGGCCATCCCAGGTAAGTTTTTAAATTGGCCCAAAAAGTAGTTGTTTCATACTTTAAATAAGAGAAAATTATTATACATGGTTTAAAAAAAAGTGACATGATTTTTTATTAAATATTTTATTATGACAATAAGATAAGAGCATTTTATGATAAAATTTCACTCTTGTCAAAAATATCTTTCTTTAGCCTTGATTACTGAAGCACAAATTTTTTGGTATTCATCTCAAAAGTTTCTCAAAATATAAATTTGATAATTGATTCCATTCTTTTTTCAATGACTCTAAGATGTCTTTTTCATTTTTTTTTTTTTCACTCTTCTGTCAAGTTTATCTTATATTAATTCTGGGGTGTCTTCAAACTTTTGAACTGTACTATATATATATATATATATATATATATACACGCATACCCACACACAGAGAAGGAAATCTTATTGTAGCTGACACATTTCATCCTCTGATAGACTTTATCAAGGCAAGATCATTTACTCCCTTTTGTTTGACATTAATTTGCATCACTTAGAGTTATATACTGTACCTATGAACACTAATGGGTATGTCCCAATCCTCATAAATACAATGGACACTAAAAGTAGTCCACCAATAGCAGTGGTTTACTTACTTCATGCTGTTGGCAAGTATTGCATTTTGTTGATGTTATAAAAGTTACCATTTCATTTCCAACCTCTGTTTTGGTTATTCCTCATTCAGTAACACTTTCTCGGTTACAACACTTAGCATCTTTTATAATTTACATAGAATTTTCAGTTAACCTGACGAATATTAATAAGCATTCTTGGATTTAAAGATTTTTAAAAAGTAATGACATTTTTGATTTTGTTTGAAAAATGCTTGTTGCAAAATAAAATCCTTACATTTCCCTTGATAAAGCTCATCAGACGATGAAACGTGTCAGCTAAGATTTCTTCTTGTCTTTATTGATATTGTCTTTATACACATATATTTTTAATTATATCTGTAATTTTACACACACATGCAAACATATATGTATGTGTGCGTGTGTGAGAGAGCGAGAGAGAGAGCATTAGTGTGTGACTGAGTGGTTAGAATATTTGCTTTTTGTTCAAGAGATCCAGATTTGAGTCTCACTGTGGTCGATTTTTCAGGAAGGTGACTTATTTGGAAAGTGTTTGACAACCATACTGTGGGATGATTCATGTCTTATGAGTGTGAATGAAATTAGAATAGACGGAACTGTTCAGAAGTTGTTGATGGTTGTGCTATCAGGAAGTCACAAGACATTCTAACCAAGACTATACTGGCCTTGTTCTCACTGTTGATCATGCCAGATGATATGCTCGTTCTAAGAAACTGTAATTAAGGTTCACTCAGCATAGATGCAGTATAAACCACAGGTGGATTCTATGATTATTTAACCCACATGCATGTGCCTGTCCAGGTGTCTTTGACAGGGTTTGGCTAGCCAACAGGTAAGCTTTTAAAACAAGAGTAACTGGCCATTATACAGGTTGAGGCAGAAATACCTCCCACATAACTGCATGACATTAGCTAGATGATGAAATTGTTGCCACCAATGTCTTACCATTATGTGGGAGGTATTTCTAAAAGGTACATGTGTTAGATATTTCTGTCCCACCATATATATAATTGTGTATTTCAGCAGCAATTCCTCTTTTATACAAGTTTAATTAAAAACGACTGACAAGGTGCTGTGGTTAAGCTTTTTATTTAATTTTTCTTGTGTTCTTATAATTTTCTTTTCTGAATATGAATTATGTAGAAATTGTCCAAATGTTTTGTATGTCAGAGTGCTTTTGGATATACTTTTAGGCATTATCAAGGATGAATTTTTATTTTTATTTTTAACTGAGTGTACGGATTGTTTCATGTATGTATTTAGAGTTATAGAAATATTTTATTTTCCAAACTCAGTCAGCACAATGTGACCATGTTCATAGTTGATGTTACTGAGTGTTGGCTTTTTCTTTTTATTAATAATTTTCCCATTATTTTTTAGCTTTTTTTACATGTGGATGAGGTTATTATATTTGTATTATCAAATTCATATGTCTCTTAAGGTTCCTGATCAAACCAAATTCATAAATAATTATACTGGATATACTACAACATGCCTAACAAGAAGACTCGCCTTACATCTCTCTGACCATAGCTCAATTAGCCTCATTCACATGTAAAAAAGGCTAAAAAAAAATGGAAGCATTATGAAAACTATTACACTACTTATCATCCTCAATACTTTGCGTTGATTTTCATTGTTAGCCTTAAAAAATTTTTTGATTATTCTTAGATTTAAATTTTTTTAAAACCTATCAATATTTTTATTTCCATTCATAAATATATACTGCAAAATAAAATTCTTAAATTTGCCTTGATGAAGTTTATTAGAAGATGGAATTGGTTTGAGGCCATACCAGGTAAGTTTTTAAATTAGTGGTAAAGAGTAGTTTTTCTTTGATTCTATTCACATTTTTATGTTTTTTTTAAATGCGGCAGACAAGGGAAATCAAAAGTTTTTTTTTTTATTAAGTGTTTTTAATGTACTTACAAAGTGCAGAAACTGTTTATAATGATTATTGTCACAAATGCTTTTAGCTAATTCATTAGGCATTTTCAAGGTGTGCTTTGTTAATGTTTTTCAATGTTTGTGTTCAAAGATGTATTGTTCGGAAGTAGTATTAATTGTAAACAGTGTGAGAGAAATTTGTCTGTGATTTTCTGTTGGATTGTCTTTTAAAAGACTCCCAACACAGTTTGCTGTTCAAATATACAAGATTTATAAATATATAAACACACATATAGACATGTGCATAAATAGGACTCATTTATATGAGACAGTTTGAACATAAAATGGTAGAAATAATTTTAAAGAATGCTGGTTTGTTATCAGAATGTGGCTTAAGAAGCATGAGGCAAGATGAATAAACTGTAATATTTCACTGTATTTATTCCACATCAGAGTTATATAAGGAGATATTATGATACATATGAAATGACCATAAATATGTCAAAATATGACAGGCCAGCAATTTTTCTCGTTTGTTCAGTTGATTTCTGAATGGCAAGAAGAATATTCACTGAATAAGCTTCATCTTCCTCTTCAAGCTAACATAAACAAATCCACCATAAACATTGCATCTTCATTACAAATGCACATGACTTGTACAGACATGCTTACAAACACTGGCATATATATTAATGGATATTTATGATGTAGGTTCTATTTCAAATGTATTTCATGAAATGTAACGAACAGAATTTCTTGATGGTTATGATCTTCTCATATCTTTGAGAAAATACCAATGGGATGTTTAGATCTAAAAATCAAAAATCTAGGCTCATAATTCAAAAGGGTATGAATCAGTCCTACAATTTCAAAATAAAAAATACCAGTGGGATGTTCAGATCTAAAAATCTAAAATCCAGGCTCATAATTCAAATCAGTCCCACAATTTCAAAATAAAAGAGACCAGTGGGATATTCAGATATAAAAATTCAAAATCCAGGCTCATAATTCAAATCAGTCCTGCAATTTCAAAATAAAAAATACAAGTGGGATATTCAGATATAAAAATCCAAAATCCAGGCTAATAATTCAAATCAGTCCTGCAATTTCAAAATAAAAAATACCAGTGGGATGTTCAGATATAAAAATCCAAAATCCAGGCTAATAATTCAAATCAGTCCTGCAATTTCAAAATAAAAAATACCAGTGGGATGTTCAGATATAAAAAAAAATCCAGGCTAAAAATTCAAATCAGAAAAAATACATCAAAAAAAATAAGGAAGGGATGTTCAGATATAAAAATCCAAAATCAGGCTAAAATTCAAAAAAAAAAAAATAAAAAATACCAGTGGGATGTTGAAATCTAAAAATCCAAAATCCAGGCTCATAATTCAAAAGCGTATGAATCAGTCTTGCAATTTCGAAATAAAAAAATAACAGTGTTGGAAAGCATAAATCAAAAGAGGTAAAAATCTGTATTCAAAACTTGCAATATGCAATTACTTTCTTCACTAAGAAGCAAGAAATGCTCCTATGATCCAGCGTAGTGACCTTTTATTGGGGTAAGAAAGGTTGTAATTAATGAAGACTGATAGGAAAGTGCAAACAATTAGCATATTTTGAGGCCTATTAAGTCACCCCAGTTTTGATTCTTGCCAGATAGCACATAAAACACAAATTCTTTTTCACACTATGACTTAGTTTTTTCCTTCATCACTAAAACAGTAACTCTCTAATGGTTACATAATAAAACTATGAATGTGTAAACTATATTTATCATAAAATACCAAAAACTTAAAACACCCAACCTTGTGATTACTTTTCTACAAAAAAAGCCTACTTTGCAAAATGCCATTTTTTTATACTAGTTCTCTTGTTGCTTTAAGGCTTAAATACACATCATACTGAAACACTGGTTCCTATATGATCTCCAAAGTTAAGCAACATTGAGCCTGATCAGTACCTAGATGGGTGACCACTTGAGAAAACCATGTACTTGGATGCAGAATCAGAATTGGAAAGTTGAGAGTTGAGTTCCAAGTCCTGTTGAGTTCATTATATTCACTTATATGCAAATACTCTTGGGAAAGGTATGATTCCACCTCTTCTTCCCCAGCTATGGATTAATTAGTAAGACTTGTATCACTGAACCATTATTATCTCAAAAAAATGCTTACAATCTAAAATTATTTGCTGGCTTTAAATAACCTGCAAAAGGTTAGTAAGATGTAAAAAATGAATGAATCAACCAATCTTGTCAATAATAATAAAAAAAAGCATCAATATATATTGCTAATATCACATTTCTTTTGAAAAGACTGATCTGTCATCTGTCCAAGCAAAGAGCTATACGCAAACATATAACCCAAATCCACAGTACCTCTTCCAATTCTAGATTATGGTTGAAAATACAATGTCAATCATACTTCAAAAATTGATTAGTAATTCTAGAATAGGAGGTATAGTGCAGTAATGGATAGTGGCTTGGACTGAGAAATTGGAGAGCCAAATTTGAATTCCATTTGAATCCATTACATTCACTTACATGCTAATATCCTTGGGAAAGGTATGAATCCTCCCTCCAGCTATGGGTAAATAACAGGACAGACCAGGTTCTATAGCCTTGGATGGCAACTGTTCTACTGCAGAAAGAAATGGCAACTGACTGCAGGAAAAAAAATCTACCTCGTCAGTCATGTATCAAAAGATACATGATTGCTTTTTAATGTGTATCAAGCAAGGCACCTAATTGACTGAATTGTAGAATCCATTCACATCAAAGGATGGAAACTTACTATCTATAAAAAATTTTCTATCTTAGTATAAATGTGTTAAAACACTAAAGTCAGTTTAACAATGTGATGCTAAAATCTATTCCACTGTCATTTCAAACACTGGATTCTTAGCAATATAAATATGACAGTTGCTGTCTTTTGACTTTCTATATTATTTCCTTGGAAATTACTAATGATGGTCAAAACTAGTTTATCATAATTTTGACAACTTCCATTACAAGCTTCCACCTGATATAAAAAGACTTATTTGACACTAGGTGAAACACACCATAATGCTTAACAGACATTCTCAGGCCAATCTATGTAATAAAACATCTTTAAATGTATATGTACTTCAGCAGCAGGCTGTCACTGATATATCTTTCATTAAAAACGATTTGGATGTTGAATTTTTTGTTTATATATAAGAAAATGCATAAGAAACCTTGAAAACACAAATCAACAGACACCAAAAATAGCATGAAAACAGTACTAGCTTACCACACCACCTCAAAATATAGAGAAGAAAATGCCAGTAATTACCTTTCTAGAAGAAGATAAACTCTGAGCCAAAAGATCAGATCTTATTTTGGAATGCCGAAAGGAAAATAAATTCCTACTACACTACCTAAAATGACAACACAACTCAAAAGACCAAATAAAGACTCGCAACTTAAACTTAATAAGCTTTATTTTAGATATCAAAATTTAAAACAAAAAAAATATAAAACAAATAAATTATATATATATATATATATATATATATATATATATATTAATTTATTTGTTTTATATTTTTATTTATTTTTTTATTTTATTTATTTTTTTTTATATATAAAATATTTATGACAGTTAAATTTAAGTTAGGAATATCCGAACAGTGATGTTCCATATCACGTGACATCCACGTCTCTCGAAGGATGCTACTTGTTAACAAACAGTAATTTTAATTTATTTTGTAACAAACAGTTATTTCTGATGGAAGATTGAGGACAATTTGAAATATCAAATATATATATAAATACTTTCATAAAATAAAACATTATTATTTTTTTAATTTGCAACTTTTTCTATATATATATATATATATATATATATATATATACAAATTTAAAATAAATAAATAGATAAATAAGCAAACTAAAGCTCAGGAATATAAATAACCCAAAACATGAGCTTTAAGCAAAAGAACGAGGAAAAGTTAATTTCTTCTTTCCCACACTTCCTTTAATACCCCTGTGACCTACATATCGACCCCACTTGAGGAGTTGTGACACATGGTATGAAGATTGCTTGATTGTTTGTTCGCAAGTGATTTTGTTCTTATTCTTCTTTTGCACCCATAATTCATCTGCTATTATAAAGTCAATATACAGATTATGATTTAAGCATATTTGCAAGGTCCAAATCCAGGTTCTTCTCAGTCCTGTTGGATTGATCCTAATTGACCATGTCTTCAAGTATGTAGCTGTACTCATCAGGCTTGGGCAATTAGGGGTTGGTGAGGGTATTTAACCCATAGTTGGATTGGATGGCTCTTGATTCTGAGAAATTCATCCACCCTTTAACAGCTCTTGTTTTTGTGCTGCTGGGGTTTCATTTGACCACACCAGATCACAGTCTGGTGGGGGAGCCAGTTGAATTGCTGACCACTGAGGTTTTGAATTCAGAGTTGTCCTTCTCTTAGACTGGTAACCACTCAAGACCCAGTCTGTCCTGCTATTTACCCATAGGAAGGTGCATATTTATTGCATAAAGGCCAAAAGGGAGATGTGGGGGTAAGGTTAGTCATCTCTGACTATCTTAAACTTAGCTAATCTGATTCCCGACCCATTCATTTATTACAATTTACTCAATCATCACAAGAATTTATTCATCTCCATTCATCAGACATACACTACAATACTGCATATTCCTGTCATAAAAATTTTACCCATAGGAAGGTGCTTTTCATTATATTCTTTTTCTTATTAAAGGCTTTCCACCTTGTCATGAGAAATTGTTTTATTTTATTTCCATATTTATTTTCTTCAATGTCATCATCTTACTTTTAAATTATCTTTTTTTGAATATTGCAGTCAGATATTACTTTTTTTTTGTTCTTTTTTTAAACCAACATTCAAACCTTGCCAATTTGGAATGTTTTACATTTCTTGGAATTCATTATGATATTTGTAAAATCTTACCTGCAAATAATGAATTTATATTTACTCCCATTTTCTAAATATGCATTCATCACCTGTTGTAAAAAGTTCAATTTGAGACTGTATCTCCTTGTCTCACTCCTTTTCCAATCTTTATTTTATCTTTATCTTTGTGTACTCAAATTACTGCCGTACTCTTATTATATATAGTCTCAATAATTTTTACAAAGTTTATAAAGTTTATACTGCATTTAATTTGAATAAAATAAACCCTGATATCCACAAAACAAGTTACTTTAAAAAAAAAAAACAACAGTCATCATATACATAAACTCACATATAAGCATATACTAAAAGACTTTACCAACATTGGTTGTTGATACCAATTTTATGGTGTAAACATTGACATTCATAATAAAATCAAACAAAATGTATGCGTCATGCATGCACATTTAAAATGGAATTTACATAAAAAGACCAATTCTAAAAGAGAATAAACTTGATTTTTTTTTCCTTTTAAAATAATTAGAGTGTAATTGCCTTGAGAAATATTCTTTCGATGAGAAAAACAAAATGGTTGTGATTCATTCAGAAAGTCAAGCCTTAGTGATATGCTAAGATAGATAATTAGAAAATTCTTTGCATTAGCTGGTGTAAATTCAATGTCTTGTAATGTTCATACCATCTCCAGCATATACAGGGTGAGACTTCTTTTTCTTTGTGACATGTCACTTCAATACATGGGCAATCGTGTCCCTCACTAATTTCTTGTCATTTGTAATCCTCAGTAAAGTTTGTCTTTTCATTATCTCTTCTAATTCCAATCTGCTACCAACCATTTACATAAGCTTATTAGGTTTCTCACTGTTTTCATCTGTCCTTTCTGCCTTTAATATATCATATAACTGTCAAATTTTCCAAGCCTTCTTTTTTTATGCGTTTGAAAAATTTCAACTCATGTTTTTTTGATTCTAAACATAAGTGTCTTTATGTTTCCATTTTCCTTAAAACTTTTTCTTTACTGATACATTCAGGGCATGGAATTCTCAGCAACCTTCTTTTGAACCACATTTCTGTTGCTGCAAGTCACTTTGTAATCTGTGAGTAGATTGTCCAAAATTCACTGTTTTAGTGGAGAACTGATATTACATAACAGTTTAATACTCTTTTCATTGTTTCTAAGAAAATTTTCCTGTTTCTTAACAATTTGCTTAGCTTTTTGAAGGCATCTTTCATTATTCCAATGCACCTTGGGATTTCAGTGTTTCATTTTCTATCCTCTATTAGAACACTTACCAGATATTTAGATTTCTATAGTTGCTTGATTATAGCATTTCTAATTCATAGTTAGCATTTTGGTGTGCTTCTCTTGCTGACAACCATACATTGATTGATTGATTGGTTCGGTTTTTATGCTTTATCAACCTTTTGTATGTTATTTAAAGCTAAAATATAATTTTGGGTTGTAAAAATAATTCAGAATTTTTGAGAGATAATAATGGTTTTTAGATAAAAGTTTTGTTTTACTATTTAGCAAATAGCTGTGGGGAAATTGGTGAATTCATACTTTTCCTAAGGTTATTTGCACATAAGTGAATTCAACAAATCTGACTAGAATTTAAACTCATCTCTCCAATTTCATTTTTCGAGCTATTATCCATTACACCACCAGCACAAAATTAAAATAGCACAAAAATAGTACTAAAAAAATATGGGTATTTAAGTGCAGGGAATGAGGTGTAGGTATAAGTCAATGATAAAAAAAAACAAAGAAAAAAGGGAAATTGAAGTATGCTTAAAATTTAAAATTTGAATGCTGGACACTGTTTATAAAATATGTTCGACTGGTTAGAGGGAAGTAATTGATGTGTGACCCGAAGTAAAAGTTGGCTGAAAATTAAAATTTGAAATTAAATTTAGACGGAAAGTGAGTTATCCTGGATTACGATATTTTAAGAGAAAAAATTTCTGTGCATACATAAGATCATTCCGTTTATTTAGAATATTTGGATTATTAATATTTTTTAGCATGAATAATTTTTCATGTAAACATAGATTGAACCTGTCCCTCCTGCCTGG